GTTAGTGAGGAATACAAGCTGACTATAACACTCTGTGAGAAGGTGTGTGATTCGCCGCTTCTGTGATATTGGCCTCGTGGCGCTCACTTGGATTCTTACCTCCGTCCTCAGCCTCGGTAAGTGGCCGCCTGCATTTGCGGGTCGGTGACACTTTTCTCTTGCTTTCATTGCCCTCGAGGTCGCCTCTGCTCGGTGACAATCTTACCACTTCTCGGTTTTCAGTTCGCGCCAGCCAGCAGCACTCGGCCAGACTCACAGTCGCCTGGCTCGTCTTTAGGCTTGCAGCCAAAGAAAAGTGAAAGAATGAGCACAAAAAACAGTTGACTTGGGAAAGGAAGGCTTTGTCAAATGGAATGGAACATCAATCCACTCATAGCATTGTGGGAAAATTCTAGTACCAGTCCTTCATCACCAAATAGGGTGAATACACTTCATGTATACGCTCATAAATGAAGAATAGGTAAATTAGTCGATTTCTATAGCAAATACCTTCCTGCTTCATCTACAATCCCAGCACAGGATTTGATATGAGGAAATGCCTGGCCTTTCTTGAAATTCACATTTGTCCTGTGACCCAAGGGCACTCGTGGCAGTCTGGCGGAGTGGTTAACGTGCCGAGAATACACACTACGCTGTCATGGCTTGAGTCCCGCCGGGGATGTTGATGAGACCTAATTGCAGTTTACTCCTGAATAAACGAGAATATTTTTTGGGGAAATCAAGGCCACGTGAAATTCAATGAAAACTTAAGGTCATTTCATATAAACGGGGGAAAATTTAACTATCAGTCCCCCTAAAACCTTAAATGAAATACGGTGTTTACACCTCATATATATATGAGCTATTAATATGCTTATGCATTTTGTTCGCCTTTTCGATACATTTCAACCGAGACTGTGAATTCAGAGAGGCTTGACCTACTCTAAATATGCAAGGCTTTTCAGGTTAGCTGATAGAGCTGTGTTCGTATACCATGCCTTGACAGCACACTTGTGTCATGAATCATATGCCCCAGGTACGAGTCCCGCCTAGAGCGCCCTTTGCATGCAAGCCATGATGAAATCAGCCCAGGAGAGGTCGAAACTGTTGTAAACGCCCAGTTAGATGAGAATGAATACCTCTTGGAAAGTGAAGCTATGCGAAAGTTAATAAAAATGTAAGGTCTGCTCACAGAATTTTTGGAAAATCTAACCTGCCAGTCCTTAATCACCTTAAACGAAATAGGGTGAATACATCTCATAGACATGACAATTTCCAACATCGGACCGATGACTTGCTACATTTCCAATGTGACAAGTTGATAAGGTGTACATCTGCACTATGGAGGGTACTTCTCACCAACGAGGACGGCGAAACGTCTGGAAATGTACCAAATTAACGGTGCTAAGCTAGAAATTATCCCGTCTACTATGGCAAAGGATACAGGACTATATATGTTTCATAAGGTCTTTCTATCGATTTGAGCAAGTTATGAAAACGGGTTAACACCAACTGGACTTGGAAGAATACCTTAGTGATTTATCATGACATGGCTTTTCATCTCGGAGGTCTAATCGGAATCCGAAGGTGGATTGCCTCGGAGTGTAGTAAAAACTGTTGGATTGTGCCAACAAGTACTCGGCTCACGAATGCATTCCAACTTTCTTTTCTTTTGAAATCACAACAAAAATGGGAAATCCTTCAATCTCACTTGCGATAAGTAATGACTAAATAACGGTACTCATGGAAACGAGAGCATCCATCATGAGAGGCCGAAAGCAGCTGTAAAGGTCTTGAAAATAATTCGATCACCCCAGGTCGCCTGAAATGATTTATGGACTGATAGAGTTTTTTTCACACAATCAGATGAGCCGATCTCACCAAGCCCTGTCTCCAAAAGGTTTTTGCCTCCCGCCTGGACTTCAGTTTACATCTCACCTTATCACCTCATCAGTACCACCAACAGGATTCAAAATTATTTCATGAGCAGCCTGGCGACATGTTGGTCAACCGAGTCTGCCAGTGGAGCACAAGATAGATGTGACCTTCACATTAAGCTAGGGCTTCCTAAAATCCTTATTGTATGACAGGCTTATCGATGTGACAAACGTATATATTTTTCATATAAGAGAGTTATTTACTCCATTTTGTTTAAGTTAGTAGTCGAATCTTCCCACAATGAAATGAATAGGTTTCACGTCTCCACTACATTTCGCATAGCCCTACTCCCCGAATGGTATTCGAATCCAGGGTAAACTTCAACTTCGACCTCGCCTCGGTCTTATCAGTACCCGCAGCGTGTAATCTAGACACGTCAATCCTGAGTCACACTGCCACGAAAGCGTTTGGGTCAGAGGGCAGAAGTAAATGGAAAGGAAGTCAAAACCTTTCCTGTTTCACATTTCTGAGGTAGGCTTGTCGACAAAGCAAATATGTAGTTGCAATTACAATCGAATAGATTAA